AGATTTCAGCTCATCATGGGCATGAATGTCATGGCAATTTGGGCTATTAAACATTTCTTTAAACTGTTCTTTTTCCAAGGTGGGCTGAATATATAGCATACATGCTTAATAACTTTAAGAAACAACAATCCACACATGGTTAAAAGTATTCATGCACTCACTTAAATATTTGAATGTGGTGCTGAAGATTCTACAGGGTCTTTTAACTTGGCAAGGCCAAGGCTTAATAATTTATCAGCAATCCTGATTGAGTTTTTCTTTGCCAACCCCAAAAGTTACTTGTCTGAAAACACATTTATTAAAGTCATGTTTTTTCAGCTTTAGGATCAGTGACATCTTTGATGTCAATAAATCAACATTACCAGTTTGCATCCAACCCTAATCCAAATGGATAGTCAGTGATGGTAGTGGAAGTGTTAGACACTGAGCTAGTGGGGGCGCTGGAGCCTATCCCAATTGTCTTAGGGCAAGAGGCAGAGTACACCCTGGACAGGTCGCCAGTCTAATGCATAGACACAATTCAATTCAATTTTATTTATATAGCGCCAAATCACAACAAAAGTCGCCTCAAGGCAGGCGCAAAGCAGGCAATCATAACCACCTTTGGGAAATGTAGAATAACCAGTTAACCTAAACCCACATGTCTTTGGATTGTGGGAGGAAGCCAAATAGACATGCAAATTCCCCAAGCTAATGGTGGAATTCAACTCACGACCTTCTTGCTGTGAGGTAATCGTGCTAACACCTGTCCCACCTTCTACCCGAAAATCTTTTTCATTAAATGAATCTAGGGCACCCTTTCACAGGGACTAGCTATGACAACGCAGCCAGAACACCGATACACTCCAACCACTGATGGCTAATAGTTGGTAGAAAACCTACATTACCTACACATTTTTGATGACTAGAGCTTGAACTTCAGCAGTGATTTTAACAATGTCTTCATGCCTAAATGTATTACTTTGCTGCCATGCGATTGGCTGGTGAGATATCTGCGAGCAGCTGGATAGGATGGTGGCTGCAAAATCACTGTTATAGCATAGCACCAGGGGGCGATCGCGGCTCAAGAGTTGGCAGTTTGTCTTGTAATCGGAAGGTTGCCGGTTCGAGCCCCGGCTC